GGAAAAAATCTGCGTGATCTGAAATTTGCTTTTCTCAAAAAGCCTCAAGAACAGTTTTGTTTCCTTCCCTCTCCTCAAGAAGATGATTTGCAAGTAGCAGCATACGGTTAAAAGCCATGCTCAACATCTAATGATAAAACAGCCTCTCTTCGGTGGTGGTGCACCAACTTCGGAGTGAGCTAATGAAACTTTATTGCTACCAGCGTAGATCGTTAGGAACTGAAATTACACTCTCTGTAGTTCTTACCAATTAAAAGGCCTAAACACACCCCCTCGTGGGCAAAATACGAAATACCACAAAAATACCTACTCGGATTTTTGGCCCAAGGGGCTTACACGGCTGTTTGCGCTTTGAGCGGCTCTGACACGTGGTGGAGTCCTTCCACCCCAACAGACACAAGCCTTCGCATGGGGACCCCTAAACGTCTCCCTGCCCTGTATTCCCACCACCGTGCAGACTTACTTCCCGAGGAAAGCTCTTGATTTAGTTGCTCTTGCATCCTCTAGTTCTAAGGCTGCTTTACTGAAAGCGAACAGTGGTATCTGCGGGAATTTTGTACTAAATAACTGTGAGATGAGGTGCTCCTAAGAACCGCAGACAAAATGGCCAGTGTTAATTTTAACGTGCCTATTTTTGCATCGCAGCTGAAGATGTAACCCAAGTTATTTAACAGGCAGAAGATTCACGACATCTACTAAAAGGCTGAGAAACCAATTCTGATAATGCAACGGGAAGCTAGCATGTGTTCCCTTCTCCCACTAACTTCTATTTTTGTTTGTCCTTAGCTACAGGCCCGCTAGGATTGCTCAGTGCTTGATTATGCGACAAGAGGAGAAACTGGTGAACTGGAAGACGGTGCACCGAAGTAACACTCGCCTCGTGCAAAAAGAGCATCGTGCCCCTTCGGCAGCGATCTCTGCTGCGGTTTGGTTCAGGGCTTAGCTCACCGGCCAGTTGCCCCGGCGTGATTTAGCCCATGTGAATGAGTCCTAGAGGGAAACATGACAAACTCCAGGTTTTTTATAGCCCCACGTCGACCTTTAGAAAGTCACATTGCTGAAATTCCTTTGTTCAGAGGGAGAGGCAAGTCTGTCTGCAGATCCCCGCACCCCGTCCGGTGCACGGGGGTTGTACTTACGAGGAGGGTCGGGCGCTTAGGGCCTTTTCACCAAGTCCGGTGTGTGACGCTTACACTGTTAACGTGAGAAATCACACAGAAGTGAGTTAATGGCAGTGCTTAGGCATACTAAGTCAATGGGACGCTTGCCAAGTCATTAAGAGGTCACCGACTGGCAGCTGAGAGATAACTCAGACTGCGGAGAGATAACCCGGACGCAGAAATACGCCTTGTACAGGTCTATGACTGCCTTCAGTCCTGGGTGGCTTAGGGGAAAGCAGCTAATTACGCCGCTCATCTAGTGAAATGGAATCTGCTGTGTTGTGGCTGGATACAAAAGTTGTCATTTGAAAATACCTGCTCTTTTACAAGCCGGTCGAAATTCTGCCTTCAACACCACCGTAAAAGCAACCCTCCCTCCCCGCTGCTAGAGGTTTGGTTTAGTTATGTACTTCCACCCCTGTTCCCAGCAGCCCTGCCTAAATTGCTGGGAAATTACTAATTTCCCTTGGAATGGAAAGTGCTTGGGCGAGGATTGCATTCGAGGCAGGCGTCCCCAAACAGTGACAGTTCCCCCAGGACACCTCGCACATTATTAAATTGTTACATCATAGAAAATTGCGGACTGGGTATCATGACCTTAGCCTCCAAACACTTCACATTAAAATGCTTTAAAGATCATTCTGCAGCGTCACTGCAAAAGATAGCTCAGGTTAATTGTTGGTCTGCCAACGCTGTTCTGTTCTTTCGATACTAACAAAGTGCAGTTCCCTAAACCATCCCCTTTGGAAGCCCTTGATCCTGCCAAGAACTGAGCACGTACGAACGGGCAATCTTTGCCCTGACTCGTCTGCATATGGAAACGTCTGTGCCTACTTGAAGCGCAAGCTGTCCATAAGGGAAAAGGAAACTATCTTGAAAACAGAACGTACAAACTTTGTCTTGAGACTTACAGGGCCTTTCTTAGGTATGCTATGTGGAAGAGGAGTTCAGAGCGCTTGCTATATAGAAACTTTGGGAAAAGATGCGCTCTTCATCTAATGTCCCGTTAGCCCTTCAAGAAGAGCAATTGCTCTTCCAGGTCTTGTATTTTGTTTGGTTTTGTTTTTTCATCCGGCTTTGACCGTAGAAGCTGATATTTTGTACTTGAGGAGCAGAATAGCATCAGTGCCACAGCAGGTCTCAGCTGGAGGCCAAAAGATCCCCCGCAGCATCTGGCTTGTCCGAGTGAGCAGGGGGCCGTTGGGACGTGCTCACTGGGGTCAGGGCCTCCGAGCCCAGTGTAGCTACGCTGGCAAAGTGCACTAGCCCTCAGCCTGGCTTTTGAAGGTGAATTACACCGTTCTGCAGCAAATCCTTTCTTATTCTGGAGGAGGGAGTCCTGAAGGGACCGTTATTTAGTTATAAGTCAGGCACCGCGGTTATTTCAGGGGAAACGTTCGAGGAGTTGAAGCTTCACTGCTCTGAGTGTTGAGCGCAGCGTAGTACTGCCATGCCTTCTAGTATTACAGTGCTCAGGGACTAACCCCAAACGGGTCCCTGCTATGCAAGAAGCTCACAGATACAAAGAGCAGATTTCGTGTCTGAATATAAGCTGGGAACGCATCATTTTACAAAGTCATCTTGTTTTTCTAGTCTGCAAAATGAGGAAAAGTCGTTCCTCCGTCATTCAGAAATGGCTGGTGGGTTTCCAAGACGTACCTGCAGGGTGCCTGGGGTGGGTGCTGGGGCAGGGCGTCTGGGATGGGTGCCTGGGAGGGTGCTGAGAACAGGTGTCTGGGTGGGTGCCGTGGGTAGGTGCCAGCACCCGCCTGGGGGCTAGGGTGGCTACTGGGGGTGTGTGCTGCGGCCGGGGGCAGAGGGTGGGTGCCCAGCTGGGTGTCGGGGCTGGGTAACAGGGCTGTGTGCCCTGCTGGGTGCTGGTGCTGGGGCTGGGGTGAGGGGTGGGGGCTGGGGT